ACACACTTGACGAATTGTTGGCGTTACATTATACGAATTATTGAGTTTATCATAGATGGTGATGGCATGCATGTATGAAGCTGTGCAACCCGTTACATTAATTACTAGGGCAATGTTGATGGAATTTTTTGCCATGGAATTTCGTGTATGTACTTAACTTGATCCGGATAGTTATCAAGATACAAGGTGTTACAAAATGCAGATATTTTCTTATATCTATGTCAAAACTTATGGTGATAAAACTTCTAATTTATTAACTGGATTTTATGAAATTAAATAATTTGACGAATAGTTTATATAATATTAGTAGTACGTTTTGCTTGGAACCGATCTCGTATGTTAATTATATTTTATTATGAGTAAAACTAGACGTCTTCTGTTGAGTAGTATTTGATTTAGGTATCTCAAAATACTTATTTAAAACATGTTGAAAAGTTCTGTTGTAATAAAAATATACAAAATGAGAGGGAACGGTATCTAAAAATAATGATAAAAACCATTAGTAATACCAGGCATATAGTTACTCGTTACAGTTAATTCAGTTGAGTTTCTGTCGAACTTATTTATACGTGTAATGCTTACCTACCGCAGGCCGTATCATTAATTCTGGGAATGAAGTGGCGAGCAACTCTGTTTTATTAAATGGCAATCGCAGCATTTATTTGTGGCTGTTTGCAGTCGTACAGGTATATCGTGGCAATTACAAGTAATGGGCTAGACGCCTGGAATTCCGATTTAATTGGTTCTTCTGAAACCGTGTCCCATGACTTTATGTAATTATGATTTTAAATAGTGTTTGACAATTTAGTTTTCATTTTCCTTCTATCCTTGGTGCTTGTTCCAGTTCAAGATTCTTTTTACTCTCAAAATCCAGATTGATTTCATTTTATCTATTACAGTGAAACTTGGTTAAGTGGGACCTGGATAAGTGAGAAACCTCCATAACTGGAACTCATGCTGAGGTCCCAACACTTTGGCACTGAATTACCTCTGTTAGTGGGACGAGGCAAACCTGTATATCTGGGATTTGTTCTTTCGATTTATCATCATAGTTGCCTATATACAAATATGTATTTACAGCTCACAAATTAAATGGAATCACATACAAGGTTTTTACAATAAGGATTTATGAGTACGTAGAATAATTAAATAGTAATGGGTGCAGTATAGAGGCAATTAGCGCATTTGAAACTAGGCCGTACCCGTGTTGCAACTACTGGCTCACGGCTTCGCCTAAATTATGACGAGCACACAATTACATGCCTGTACATAGCTGCATTGTATATAAGTGACTGTTTATACACTTATCTATTTTACACCAGAATATTGAATATGTTTATCAAAGGTTTACAAACTTACATAAAACTGGGTGTTTGGAGGTAACAAGAATATTTACTCAATCAGAACAAATTTTTCTCCCATGTACATATTTTATCTATCAGTGCAAACATACATACATAGTATCAGTGATTTTACGAATGAACAAAATAAATATGTGTGCATGGTTTGATCTAATATTTGGTATCAGTCCCCGAACGTCCTATGTAACCTGCTTCATTGTACATTTTTGTGTGTTTAAATAAAGCATGGTGGCAAGCGGGGTCGCACGACAGAGGTTAGAGGGTGGGCATCACCCGCGGCCACTGTTTACATTATACCTATTATATTATTATGATTTATTGCTCAATCGATGCGCCTCCCCGCCTCAGACACTCGGGTAATTTCACTGAAATGTTGCTAAACTTTATGTACATAGAGGAATTTCAACTATGCTTCAACTTTAAAGGAATCAAATGCTTTGATATGGCGAAGGTAGGTAAGTGCTTGTAAATAGTTTGGGTAAAAATAGAGGGGAATTTGTGTGAGGGTGAGAACCCCAGCTTTTAATAAACGAAGGTAAAATACGACAACGTTGTAACTAATTGGCATTGGGTGAGAAGAATGTTCCAATAGCTACAATATTCAACTCAAAAGAAATGAAGAGATTGTACGATTTCTGGCACTCAATGGCTAACAGAAGGTTCGAGTTCATTCAACAATACGTCAGATTGAAAGTGCATAGTCAGAACGCAAACATAGCCAAGGAGGAATAGGCGAGTGCATTCAGCGATGTCGTGATGAGGATCGGCAGATAGCCGCCGAGGCTCTTCGCGCGAAGCCGCGTCCGCCATGTCGCTCTCAGTTTGCCCTACTATTCCAGCTCGCTTTTTGTATGATGCACATAAGTACTTACCTTTGTACTATTTATGCATATGAAGAAAATATTTTTTATGAAAAAAGTTATAAACTTTTTTTCTGCACTGTTAATATATGTTCATATATTTATTCTTTTTTTAATTCTTGCGTAGTTGTAAATCTATAGTTCCATCAAAGTAAAGATGAATCGTAGACGACGACGTAGCAATTTCTTTGAGTTTTGAGCGATTTAATTTGCACGAAGACTGCTAGGCATTGAATTGAAGCGCGTTGATAGAATTCCGTACTGGGTACAAATCACAAAACATTCCAATCCCTCTGGTTAATTGAATCCTGTAGGCCTTCATTAGAGATGGTGGGGGACGATTCGACAAAAACGAACTTTTACGGAAAGGAGAACGTCGGGGTACCGACAAAAACCACAAATGACATTCGGGAGGTGGCACGGATCGAATAATTACGTCGCCGCGGCTGATGCTCAACTTGGCTTTCACACTCCAAACATCGCTCCTTCATAAAACTTTGCGTAACTTCTCACGGCCTGAATTATTACATGTAAAACGTAAGTGCTTAACAAACTTTGTCTAAGTGAAAAGATGACATGGGTACCTAAATACTTGTCGCGTGTCATTCCATGTTCACAATCAAACACCAGAGACGAGACATGGTTTTATGCAAAACTTTGTTCAAAGAGTCCTTTCAGACTTATAATATGTAATGTGAACAGTGAACAGTGAACAGAAAGAGCTTGCGGGCTGATTTATTCCCTGGAAATTGTCAACTTAGCATTCGACTGAAAGTTGCTCGGGGTAAAGCAGATAGAGGACTAGTTGAGATTCAAAAGAATTCCAATATTAGTGGGAGCGGCAAATCGCGAAGACGAGTGTCCGCGGGCGAGGCTGGCGGCGCGGCTCGGCGCGAACTTCGACATCGACCATTGCTGAATATGTTAATGTGGGAGATGGCACGCTCGCTGTCGCCGCAATATCCTTACTTTCAATTCTCAACTCGCCGCTTCATCGTTAACACATTCCTATTGAGTTTATACCGAAGTGGAACTCAGCGGTTTTATTGCTTTTGTTACTTAATTTTAAAAGTGCCTATTCGCGAATACTTATTTACGAATAACGACATACCAATACGTAAAGTGTCTGATGTATGTATATTAAGTACGTATATATAATTATATAAATATTATTCTCATATTACATAATGTAACACAAATAAATCTTCACATAGGGAACAATCCTCCACTGGCGTTGTATATATGTATATCCTTAGATAGGTATATGAGCGAGTGTAAGCGTAGCTCGATCTCGACTCGCACAACAATTCACTTTGAAAGGATTTCTGTATTGTGCACCAGATTCACGAACAGTGGCGCGTGGCCGTACGTCGACACTGCACTGTGTCTACACGTCGCGTCGCGCTCCCATACCATCCAGCATCCATGCACTCATTCGCTGTACAATACTCTTGGCTTAAGTAAATTAAACTCGCTACTAATTAAATTCAATTACGTTTTATTTACGTAGGTAGGCTTCTATAGTTCCTATTAGGGATTTGGTAAATCTTCAAATGAGATAGTATCCAATTTGTGTTTCTTGTCTGGCTAAACTAATGAAGGAATTTCAACTATGCTGCCGTGCGATTGAGAATACGGGGTCCACTTCACGTTAGTTTTATTAATGCATATGTTTTAATTACATTTTTGGGTGATGTGATAATGCTATTTTCCGTCGGATAATTATTTGCAAAGTAGTGGATATTGAAATACGCGTGTGTCGTGTCTTTGTGAGTAGCGGCGACGGATTGTAGCATAAAATAAATACTTTTGTGTTTTACATCTTATTAATGACATGTATTTTAAGAGATTTATTGTACTTGCTAGGTATTCTTATTTATAACATATATTTTAGAAGATTTACACTACAAAAGACTAAAAATGGGACAGTTATTCACTCACGCAAAACTTTGAATGTTCAAATTAATTGAACATAATCTAAGATCTGTTGAGCCAAAATGTCACAATGAGAAATTATTTTCGCTTTTTGTGACAGATAAAAAACTGCCTTTAGGGAGTGTAAACAATGGGACATGACAAAATACAAATGAGAAGCTTATCTAAGGCTCGCCATTTGTACGGGTACCTTATATTTTATAGGCATTTTAATATATACTTTAAGTCTACAATTGACAAGTATAATTATACAGCTTTCAGAAATGTAGGTATAAGAACAAGTTTACACTGCGGCACATATAGTTGAATTTATAGTTGGTGGCGCAAAATCATTTAACTATTTATTTTACATATTTCCCTGGCATACTTTAGTATTAGTTTACTTTTAGTTCAATAGCAAGAGAGGGTCACAACGCATTCTATAAAAAGAAATACAATGTTAACCCAAAACCCTTAGTTTATCGGAACGTAGATATAAACGGGACACAATATATTTTCTATTGTGTATCATATTACGACAGACTAGAGTTAAAACCTACAAATAATTCAATATAATGATTTAAAGATGCGTTTACTTCAGTTCATTACTAATTAAATCTTCTTTTTGTATTCTGTTTTTCATAGAGATCTACGCCGTAGCTCCGTAGCATGTTTCGTAGCAAGCATTGTAGCTTGCTCATTGTGGAACTTTTTTCAATTCATTGTTATGATATATTAAATTCATTGTAAAATGATTAAGAATTATGTAAATAAATACTTGTGCTGTATATAATACTCAGTACTTTATTCTTACTTAAAAAATATTTGAGTCTTATAGAAATTGGTATTAATATATGTGACTTACCATAACGGCGTTTATCTTGAAGTCCATATGGTTCTTGACCTCAGCAGCGAGCTCGCGTACGAGCAGCAATCCATCCTTCCGCACAACTTCCACGTTGTACTCATGGTATTTCTGGGAATACACAATACATATGTTTGTTACATTATTTAATATATGATTAACAAGTAATTCTAAGTATAATACTCATTACAGTTTGATATAATTTTTGTTATCGTTTTTAAATTATGGAGCGTGTTGTTTCCGTTATTTATATATATATATATATATATATATATATATATATATATTTATTAGTTTTAGGCAAAGTGCCAGATGTCAAATGAAACATTTTCCTTTTTATCTAAAAATGTGCAAGTTAGGCAAATTCAATCGTTTTTCTAATGCGTTGAGTTGATTCATAAATAAACCAAAAACCCACATTGATTTGTTTAAGTACACTTTACTTTGCATTTTAACTATCAACATTTATCATATCTGCATTACAAATATTAAAATACAATGCAAACCGCGCATCACATTGGCAGCTGTGTGGCTAGACTAGTAGAGATATCATGAGCTGCAACCAAATTATCTCCCATCGACAAATACATATGAAACATAACAATAGTTCACAGCAAATAGACTAGTGCAAGTAATATCTGCGTAGAGCACGCGTAATTTAATGCTTTCACGAGCACAGATAAACATTGGCAGGCATGTAGCGTTCGCATAATTTGTGAAAATGACAACAATCGTGTCGCATTCGCGCTACATTACGCGTTGAGTTATTGGTTCCCAACATGGCGGCGGTGCGCGGGGCGAACCGCGCGCGACTCGCCCGAGACCTGTCAAATTTAAAAATGGAACGAACACATCCGGAATTTGGCGGATGCTGGCTGCCAAATTATTGTTATTCGGCAGAGGCGCTCGCTTCGTGCTGCCTTGTTATTGAATTTTGGATGTGCCCGATGTCGCCTTTGTTGTACTATCAAATCTAACGAGATGCGTCACTGTGCTTATAATATTTTTTTATTAGCGTTTCACCAGCGTTCCACCAACCGCTATAACAAAACCGCCGCTTATCTGTCACGGAAACGGAGCCTGCAATAACACAGTTAACTCCGAACATCTCTTAGATTAAGGACGAGCGAGGAAATAAAAAGCGATACAGCTTATAGACAGCCGGTAATACGTTTTACGGGAAACCAGCTGCCGCTCAGTCAATAAAGTTCATTTTAAGGGTACCATCGGCGGCGGATGGGAAATGGCGGCGCGCCATAGAGACGTCCGTCCGCTGCCCACGACGCTCCCCTTCATATTACATTGTCTTCAACGACACCGGAGATCCCATTTAATCGATAGCCTACTTGAGCTTTATAATAGGGGGAAACAGATAAGTAAAATCCTTGGTTAAATATGGCATTTGGCGGGGAAAACTTGATGTTTTTTTGGCGATGTTATGTTATGAATGACATTATTATAGAAAATCTTAATACTATCAATTTGTGCATTCCGAGTTTATCAAGGCGAACGATATTAATTGGCTAGCTAGTTCGAGTCGAGTGGCCGAGGAAGGGTCGCGGTCGACGGATATTTGATTTGATCCCGCCCTGTACACCAAGTTTATTTATTGACTAATAGGGTTGCCTGCTAGCTTTGGACATATCACAACTACTTCAGGAAAACTACCGCAAAGGTCAATGTCATCACAAGTTGAATTAGATACGGGAATATCTTAACTGTAAACTTTAAAAATCAAGGCAATATTGCGGGTGCAAGCGAAATGTTGCTATAATATATTCGAATGGGGTTGTTTAAGTCAGTAGAAGTCTGGCACTCCTTCTCGTCCCACCTGGGACGGGAGGGATTTGATGATATCCCTCCAAAAACAAAAAAAATATTCCACCGACCTTAAGACCTAACTTTATATTGGTAAAAGATATTAAACATTTAATTTCTTGTTGAAAACATACACAAGTGTTAATAAACAAAAAAAGTGCTTACGTGAGTTTAGAGCGTCTCATGGGAGGGAGAAATTACTGACCCTTGGGCCCTAACCCGCAGACCAACATTATGTATGAACGGGGGCTGTTAATCGTCCCCGTCGTTTATTATTTTAATGGAAGTCTTTTAATAATATCATAGCTTCCGTCCAAAATAAGCGCTGTATAAAATTAATTATGTAAACAAAACCAAACATTCCAGACTCCCGCCAATTTAATGTCACTATTCAAAAAACGACTTACTTCTTTTTATTTTTGTTCGTGACACGTGTCTTAATAGCCAGTGTTCTTTTTTAGTTTTTTCTTCTACGAAATTTTGAATTAGGTACAGTAACTTTCTATTGCAGAAAGTAAATATAGTATTTTTTTCTTAACTTTGCTTTTATGGTGTCCATGTTGTATAAAAAAATATGTTTCAAACTTTGATTTTAATAAGTCCAGATGGAGTGTTACATCAAGACAACGCTTCGAAAATTTGCAGTAAACTGTTTAGGCTAAGAACTCACGGAGCGATTTTCGCCCGCGTCCGCTGCGGTTGCGGGCCCGCAGCTTCTGTAGAATTCAAATATTCATATAAAAAATTAAAGCATATTTCACGACGCGTTTTACGCCCGCGGTGTACGCGGTTGTATGCGGCTCCCGCTGTACCGGCGGGCAACTAGTAGAATCGCGCCGACCGCGGTTACCCGCAGCCTCGGCGGGTGGCACCCGCGCGCTTTGCGATCGGTTGGCGAGCGACCGCGAGGGCCGGCGGGTCTTCTGTGAAGTAGTCTTGCAATCTTGCGATCATCGCCCGCCACGTTTGCGGGCGATGATCGCAACCGCGGCGGCTGTGTAACCGCACAAATAACCGGTCTCGTGAGTTTGGAAATAAAACCGCAGTTCAGCTACCGCGGCGGGCACGGTTCAAAATCGCTCCGTGAGTTCTTAGCCTTACTGGAATGCTGTTATCCATCAACCGGTACCTGATTCGTCACTACGTGCCACGTGAGCTATTAAATACAAAGTAAATAAAAAAAGTTGTTACTATTCAGTTTTTTTTTTGTTAAAAGGCCATTCCTTGTAACTGTTAGACAAAAAATACCGGCAGTTATTTATTTTATTAACAAGACATGAAACCTTATTTTAGATAAAAACTATTTAAACCTTTTTTTTCAAAAATAATGATTAAGTTATAAGGTTGTATGATTTGTTCCCGATTTTATTAGGATAAATCTATGTATATATATTATAGTTCAATCCAGGCTTTTTTCTCAACAAAAAGTTACGTATCTACAAAATGACACGATTCATAATAAAGCTTAGAATACTCTAAGTCTAGTAATAAACTCCGAAATTCGTCGAACAACATCAAAATAGTCAATTTATTAGGTGGTGTTGTATTTAATTCGTAATTTAATCGGTAGGTTGGTCGGGCGGGCGGCGGGCAGGCATCACTGCGGCGCGTGGTTGCATAACGGCCGTACTCCCCGGCCCGGGGGACTCCGGACACATTGGCTAACAAGGAACCTAAATTCAATTAAGGCAGTTAATTTAATCGGCTTTGTGTGTCAACACCACCCTCGCGGACCTATGATTAATCCTATGTATTCAACTATTTTAAGTCATTAAGGAGCTAAGTCTGTAAAAGTAGGCTGTTGACAACATTCTGTTTGTGCTTAGCTAATTAGAGAAGTAGCCTGGTAATTTGCTTATGTATTAAAAAATATTTTGTATGTTTATAAATTATTATTTATCTGTTGACTGTATTTTTATTCACACGTACATATTTTATTACATACTACATGGCAGATACGTATGTATATAGCTACAAATATTAAACTTGTGTATATCACCAAATTCAAAACGTCGATATACAGAATTATCGGGCAAAAGTTCAAAAACTGTAACCCTGGGCTCGATTGTATGGTTTCGAAGAGTGTGTCACATGCGTATATATGTATGTATATGTATAGCGCAAACTGTAGATAGGAAATCTGCTCCATTTGCGACTACGACTGGAAGACCCGTATTAGAGTATTATTGAACGCCGAATTAGGAGCTTTATACTATGTTGTGTGTGGTATGTACGTTGTTTGCTATGTAAAAAAATATTAAGGTTTGATTAACAATAGTCTATAGGTATAGTCCATATGATTGTTATAATTTTATGTGGACTCTTAATGATAAAGAACTGTTCTAGTTTAAACCTTTCAAGTTCAATGTAAAGATTTTGAATATCGAAACCCTGAATATTGGATTTAGATGTAGAAAAACGTTTACGGTACTATCGCCTACGAAAATGTCAAACACTAATATAAGTAACAACATATTTATGAACTGATGTACTATGTAGGACAGTTGAATAATCAACTATGTTAAATAATAGCTGTAAAAAGCGCGGCGTCACGGTCGAGGGCCGTCGGTCGAACGTTTCTTGTGCGCACTGGACAGGACTTTCTACTCCGCCCGGCCGCATTTATGCGTGCTACACAAGAGAACTCCATTTGCCAACAAAAAGTATGTAGTAAAAAGGGCAGGATCGCCTCGTGTGCTATACAATCCTAAGCGAATTCCAAAACACGAACCGATGGGAAATATATTAGCTGGGCGCGCCTCTCAACAGCTCCGAATACATAGAATGGAAATAAATAATGGCGGTGGTCGCGGACGAGCTGCGATCGAAATCGTTCACTCCCTGCAAGTTGACTTTATATTATATTATGTACTCGGACTTAGTCTTAAAATGTTAAGTGTGAATATTATATTTTGTGTAATTATCTTATGGTAATCTTTTCGCACTCTTAAATATGTTTTTACAAATTGGAATCCATAAAATCAATTTAAACTATGTATAATCTGTCATAGTGTCCGAGATAAAGAATAGACCAAGTCAAATATATACATAACACCTCTTCTCATACATGCATAAATATGTCAGTCAAATATTAATTATATTAAAATGAATAAAATGTACGTGGTTACATAATTTTAGTGGACCACTAAATCATAAAATGTTTGAATAATTTTTATTACAAAAACACTGAGAATATTTATTTTTCTAACGAAGGCAAAAGAAAATGTAAACTGTGAAACGAAATTTTAATTAAAATGTACTCAGTTATTTTTTAAATAAAACAAATTCTTCTACTACCTAGCTTAATAATTCATTTAGTTTATGATTATGCAGAAACTCTTTTTAGTAAAATATTACATAGTTTTATGTTACAAAGTGTGTAGCGATGAAACTCTATCGAATAAAAAGTCGAAAATAAAAAAAGTTATAAGCCCATTTGTGGACGGAAAGAAACATTAAGTTTTGTTATTTCTCCTCTAAAAGTTAGAATACAGCCAAAAAGGTGAGTGGCGATATGTAACGCAAGGATGGGCGCTTTTCTTCTTTGGCAGAAGTTTTAAAAAGAATGAAAGGTGTTCGTTGCTATTATTGTGGAGCACAATGGGCCGGGGAAACAAACGCTGCCGAGCTACTACGCACTTGTATGACTTTGGCATTTCCAGACTACAAGATATACATCTGTTGCACGTCGCCTGTCTACTTAATATGCTAACGATCATTCAAATTTTGTAAACTTAAAAGTGATTTTTCATTTTAATTGAGCACTTACTTAAATTTTTTTAATGGTGTCTCGTAAAATCCCCTCTCTGATTGGCTCCGAGTAACGTTTAAAAGAACGATGTTTTCATGCAGTTTATCACGGCCCTATTCAATGAACCCGTCGTTAAAATGTATTACGCAGGTAATTCACCTCTGGGGACAAAGTGTCGTCCTCGCCAATTAAATTTTAATTGCGACGGCTTGCCAAAATGCCAAACTTTTAATACGTAGCAGCGATTAATTAAAAATGTATCACCAATGAAATTTAAGTTTTCGAAAGGCAAATGCGATGCGGAGCGAGCGTCTTGGAATTTCATATTCTCGTTAGAATGTCGAGATTGAGCGTGCTGAAGATTCATTTCACAGTAAAACTTCATTTTGAAACGGATTATTGCAATAGTGAATGCGTTTTTGATTGCTGTTTTTGTGTATTTTAGGGTAAAATAACTATGTAAGTATTCTTTGAATAATTATTTTCGTTATTTTTACGATAGATGGTAATTATAATTAGTGATGTGCCGGATCGCTTAAAATGAAGATCCGCGGATACGGATCTGAATACGGATATTTAGTGTCAAGATCCGCGGATACGGATACGGATACGGATCTTCAATTTCTCATAAGATTAGTGTCGCCGGCCGCGCGCGGCCTTGAAAAGATAGTTGACGTCTCGCTCGCCGCAACGTCAGACACGACATGTTTTGACTTGCATTGCGCGGGTGTGGTGTCAATCATTTAATTATAGAAAACAATAATTATGTTTTAGTTATTTCACTGTCCTAAAAGTAAAGTTTTAACTTGTTCTCATTATAAAAATCTATGTATCTAAATGTTTGCAATATATAGGTGCAAAATATATGATTATTTAAAAAAACTAGCTGGATTTTTTTTTATTTCTACCTGATGATTAACTGAAAAAGATTCGTAAAAGATCCGCGTGTAAAATAACGGATACGGACACGGATACGGATTTTTATTTTTCCTCGGATATCCGCGGATACGGATACGGATACGGATATTCGGAACATCACTAATTATAATAGATGGATGTTGCTGTAAGTTTCACCGCAATTAGAATATCCCTTATAATTTAGGAAACATACCCTCGACTCAACCGAAACAATGTTCATTAGTTCTACCACGCTACAATAAATTAAGATTACCCCTAATTAAACCCTAACTGTAATTACCTTAATAAAATTAAGAGACGAAGCTTAACAAACTCTGCTAATTTCAATTGTCCACTTGTAATCTTTTGAAGCGAGAGTGTCGCTCTCGGGGCCGGAACCAGCGCGGCGGTTGCCAGTAGCGCACTCTGGCGGCCGCTCATAGTTTAACCTAATTTGATTGTAGAGTGAATAGTGAAGGCCTGGACCTTCACGGAGTAGTGGGTTTAGGTCGCTCGCCTCCTTTGTGAGATGTGGGGCAAGGTAAATAACAGATACAGCTGAAGAAATTAACGTGCGACGCAAGTGACTCGGGGCTATGTTGGTTTTTGCTATCGCGTTCAATTGTTTCTACAACATTTTTTGTTTGATTTCTCGTCTTCAAAGGAGGTTTTCCTTTTTCAATTTACATATCTATGTATGCGTTTAGTTACTAAGCAACAAAAAGGTTTTGTTATTAGTAGTAGCAAACATTAATAAAGAAACTGTATTAGATAGAAGCGAAGGCACGTAGTAGTAAACAACAACAATAGAGAAGCTAATAAATAAATACGAAAGTTAATAATATAAATGATTTATTGAAGTGATAGCGAGCTGTGGGGGCTGCCCGCTAATATTGAATAAGTTGCGGTGCCCAAGTTTCCCGCGAAACATCATATTATTACTTGGACAGCCGCGATGTATACAGAATTTAGATTGCTTTATGTTTTATAACAACGAACTATACGATACGTAATCATAATACTTGGGAAACATTTTTTCTTCACATTTATTGTTTTCAAATCAGTCTTTACTCATTAATTGTTGGGTTAAAATGAATAAATATCCCACACGTTTTAGAAGGACAGTGATATGAATGAGTTGTGTGTTACCTAAATCTAATTGTGCGTTAATTAATTATGTTAAACATATCTACAAAAATTTGACAGCGTATGTATGTAGTGCAGTGGCTGGGCAATTCTTGGTGTGATCCACAGATTGTTGCTTCGGGTCAGTGTGTGTCAATATGTACGTTTGTAAATTCACCCACGACACTGGAGAAAATTCTAATGTCTGATAATCCTAGTAAAACGTTTTAACTAAATTAAATAAAAAGAAAATACATCAAAATAAATCTATTAATAATTTGAGGTAAGTATCTACCTAAGTACACTCCAAATGTGAAATTGACAAAATAAAATAATTTGATATGCATCATTAAACATAAGCTAGCAAACCAAACTTCGCCATCATTCAAAAAGCTAAAGGAAATTGAATTTCCTTGAAATATACGGTTACACAAGTATCAGCGTGGGATCACGCCCATAATATCTGAATATTATATACATGGGTAGCGTACTAAAAGTCGTTATCCAACCCGAATGGTGTCTAGACTAAATAAATTATAATACAGACTAGTTAAGTAATCATAATAATCATATACTTGCCTAATCTGGGTACTTTTTCAAATTTCGTACTCAAACTACATGGTTGGCGCGTGGCTGGGCAACTGGTTGCCGCGCAACTTGTCGCGGGTTCGATTTCGTCCGAACAACTCTATGTGTCATCCAAGTTTTTAAATTAAGTTTAAGTTAATTTTTGAAATCTGATCCAACAGACAAACTGTGTATACAGTTTTGTTGGACATTTTATACTTTTTATATGTAAAATGTACCTTTTAAGCAATAATAAATAAATAAATAAATCCAAAAAATGTTGTTCCGAGGCTGGGTGTGATGTGTACATATGTGAAATTATATGTGTGTAAGCGCATCCACGATTCAGGAGAATATCCTAATGTGATGTGGGGCAACGATTATTTCAAAAAATCTATAATACAATGTAATATACATATAGCTTAAAACTCAATTAGGTAGTGAGTTTGCTAGCGAACTTGTAGTAGTAACAAGTTTTGATCATTATGGTAATGTTAAAGAATTTTTTCTCAATCCGATTTTATTTATTTTTTTCGGATCAACACACCTCAATGAAATATATGAAACAGATTTACCCTATTAATTCGTACAATTCAAACGCCTATAGCGAATACACCTCAAACTGTTTAATAAAGTTCCACGTCTAGTATCATCCGCAAAGAATAGGAAAAGTCCCCACATAATAAAGATTACAAATAGCTAGTAATTGAAACCATTAAGCGATCAAGATGCATCGATAAGTGACTAATACCATGCTTTAGTAACAGTAGCAGTATCCCTATCTCTGGTCGGACACGTAACTGGGTCGCGGGATGTGGGGGCTCTAGGGGGCGTCAGGGGGTGTTCACAGCGCCAGGGGGCGCCACGGAGCGGACTCGTAGTTTTTGTACGTACGCGTCGGACCGGCGATCCGGCTTGCTTGCTACACGCTCTCTCGCCGCCTTCAAGAGAGAAACATCACACGTACCTTCCACGCACGACTTTCAGGAAATGGAAACTTTTTTTTGTTTTTAGTCCGATTTTCACTCGCGGCTTTTATACGAATGCCGAGGTTGATGCATGCTCGTGGTTTGCAAACATTTATTGAAATACAAACCTTTTTGTGTAGACTTAAGTAACGTTTGTTGTCAATTTTTAATTAATTTGTTTGTAAATTGACCTACTTTGATCGACATGCGATAAAAAGAGTCTAACTATTTGTAGGTTTTCTTGTGTGAAAGATAGTAACAATTACAAATCAAATAAATAATTATGGTGTTATATAATATAATGAGTAATACGAGTAAGTACTTACATTTTGAATTTGATTCATTTTTGTAAAGTGTCTGCCGAATTCCCATAAGTCGACACCAAATTTTAGCGCCCAGTTTTTGACTCTGTGAACAAAATAAAAAAATTAATGAAAACTTACAGGGTTCAGTGTGTCCGTATTCCAAGAATAATATTAATAGAAGAAAGCGAACAAAATGGAGAATATAATGCTGCGAGGTTCTTGTAAAAAATTAAACATTCATCATAAGTCTGTGAAGGGGAAGTAAATGTGATCGGGGAAACAGGTTAAGCATTTTTTTCCACTTCGTCAAGCACCCCTTATTCGGTGCGAGCTCACTCGTACAATTTATGTATTTTTCGCAACAACCTACGAATGTATAGCTATTGTTAAAGATGATGATACCAATTTGGGGAATATTTGAGGCGCTGGCGTCGCGTTCTGACTTCAAATTAATACACGCGAATTTTAACTCTACAAGTATTTTCTTAGAAACTTTATTTATCCAAAAAAGATAATATAAATATACAATTTAGTATTACATAATTGTAATCTAAACAGGTGGTTACTGAAAAGTTCAAGCCGTTACGAGGTATAACAATACAAATTATGTATAATTCCGAGTAAGTTTGAAAGTTCAAGGAATTCAGATTAATGTTTTTGTTACTAGGCTTCATTATACTCATGTTGATAATAAAGATTTGAGCCTTTAACGACGTTAGCAATTACGTAACCACTAGGCACCAAAGTAAGGTTTATAGTTACAGGAAATATGAATAGCGTAATGTTTAAATGCTAATGCACAAGAACTTTCAGTGTTGGAGAGCCATGCTTCGATACGAATGGGTAGACTCGAGTGCTACCACTGAAAACCGGCGTGAAACAACCACAGCAGTGTGTTTCGCCGTGTGAGTGAGGTGACCGGAGGCCCAATTCTTCCCCTCTCCCAATCCCGAAATTCTGCAAATCCCTAATCCCCAAAAGGTCGGCAACACACTCGTAACTCCTCCGTTGTTGCGGGTTTCCATGGGCGGTGCTGATTGCTTACCATCAGGCAAATCCGTTTGCTTGTTTGCGAATCTATCACATAAAAAGAACTACTATAATTGAATAAAAAGTGTAAGGTGAGTGTGAAATAGTCAGTTATGTACGGCCGGCCATTGAACTTTGTGAATTTCAACTTTTATTTTTAAATGCCGCTGGTCCGACGTCTGATCTGTCAAATACAAATTGGATCACGGAGTTGCTTTTTTATTGCAGGTTGGGTTCACCTGAATCGGTTATTGTTTAAAATGGCGTTTTGATTTGACTAATTGATTTATTACACACCAATGTGCGGTTAAAGGTGAATCAGCGTAACGAGTGAGTCATCCTATTCATTCAACCCTCGTATGTGACTTGACACCGTTAATAAATTGCATAAAATATTCATGTATCAATATTTTGTTGGTGGAATTTAAACTGAACGTTAGTTCTTTATCAGCTCTTCTGTGGTGGATTTAAGTTTCTATTTAAATCAATTTAGGGTTGATTTTTCAATAGTAAGATAAATGTTATCTTAGGAAAAAAATTATTGCTGTCACTGTCTTATACAAACATTCTGACGCGACAGCATCATAATTATTCTCCAGGTAACTTTTATCTTACCATAGAAAAATCAGCCTTTAAGCTCTTCCGTGTCTTGGAGAGTATTTAAAGACGAAAAAGTAAAGAGTATGTAAAAGTAATTGCGAGTAGTTACAACAGATTAAATGTGTTACGTGAAGGTAAGCAGATACCTTAGCTAAAAGAAAGCTGGGCGCCGGGGTACTCGATATTATTACAACCACGCGTATTTTAGGCAGTCAAAATTGTAGTTTGCTTTGGTTATTTGATTAATCCTTAAGTATTTAGGCGCAAACAATTCTACGCTACTTCGTGTAAAACGAAAATATGCAAGGAATCCATTATAAACTACACTTACTATAAAGTAAAAAGAAAGCGCACATTATAATATACTAATTACTAGAGTAATCGCGAGGAGGTATGTAACTCCTGAACTATTTCAAATATGAAAACGATAATTCAAAATAATTTAAGGCTAAAGCATCTTAAATAATTTTCGTATTAAAATGTTAAAAGCTGACTTAAAAATTCCAATCTACGTGGAGGAAATTCAAATTTTTATACATAATAAAACTCCTTTTTCCGTCCCTTACCATTTAGAGGAGCTTAAACCAGTCTATCTATGCGGGATTATCCCTATCCTCAGCAGTTGTGTGATGAGAAATCGATAGAAAGTGTACAGTGCACCGAAATGTATGAGACGCTGTCTAGACATTATGTTACTCTTGGATACGAGTCTTTTGAGATTAGAATAATTTCAAGTCGTTTAATATTTTGTAAAAAGTTATAATACGCTTTATCAACTTGGAGAGCTTAGGAGATATCACTCCATTTCGCCTAGCAAGTACATTTAGGGTTTTTGAACCTTAAATATGTTCTTTATCTCTCCGCTTCTTTATCACTGATATGGAAAAAGTAACTGAGAAGAAAATAATAGGGGTTTTGACTTTCCTCGTAGATAGCTAATGGAGTGATTTTTTGTATATTTTATCAAAATGTCTTCGAAGTCGTTTGCAATGTTTTCGCTGTACCCTTCGAGTTCTTTCATTCATTTCTCTTTTGACCATATCAAGTCCCGGCGTTTTTTAAAAGATCTCTCTGATAACACAAGTAATAATAAAGGAAATGTAAAAGATGAAAACGGTTGAGCGAATTTTTGGGCAAAACTTCGTTCTTATTTCCTTATTCCGTTTCGTTTAATTCAAGTTGTTCCACAATGTCCTCATTAGCAATCAGGGAATGTTTCGCGGGCATTGTTCGCCCAAGTTCGGCCGTCACCGGCACCGGTTCGGAATTTAGAATTATTTAAAACGTACGTTTCGGTAGCCGGCAGGTGCGCGGCTCGCAGCCGGCAGCGACTCCGGCCCGTTACTTAGATGGGGCGGGGAAGACGGGAAAGCTTACAGCATCCTCAACAAATCACTTTTTAAGACTGCTCGGGCCTTCATTTTAAAATTGTGTAATGATTTTCATCATCTCATGAAATTACAAATTTTGGGGTTTGCATTACGTAATGCAAACCCCAAAATTTAATTATTATTTAATTTTTTTTTACGCTATTGTAAGCCACAGGAACGTTCCTGTGGCTTACAATAGAATATGAATTGTCAATGTATTTTTTGATAAACTATGTCATTAGATTGAAAAACAGAGAAAAAGGTCTTAACACTGCAGTGATCCGCTTAAAATATCTTGTTACTGTAATCGGTTTAACCCTAGCGCTGAGCATAGGGTTTCGCCGGCCGGGGCAGGAGGGGGGAGTAAACCGATTTACGTTTCACCTGAATTTAATATCATCCCTGTGCGTATGACAAATTTCTGTTTAAAATACTCAGACTAAGTAAAATGAGGGAAAATTGAAATGGAGCAAGAGGTAACATCAAAGCGACCTGTTAAATTACTTATCTAATTATTTATGATTGCTGTTTAATTAGGGTTGATCGCACCGACGACCTTTTATAATGATAAAACAAGAAACGGCGGTGGTCATGGAAAAGAAAAGAAGGGTGTGGAAAACTCTTAGCCTTCCTTTGCGGGAAATTTTGTAAAGATGATGTCTTTTTATGAATATTTAAATCTCTTTGAATATTAAAGCAATCAATGCGAATAAGAAACCAAGGTTTCGGGTGTCAAAGTAAATTAATTAGAGATAGAATCCGATGATATCTCGGGTGCAGCGAGTCGATAACGGTTGTTTTATTAATCAGCGTCGGTGAGTGCTGGCAGACAGGGTGTCAGACGCGCTGCGCCCTTACGTAAGGCAGCCTCCGTAGTACGCGGCCGGCGCCCCGCCCCCGCGCGTCGTGCCCCTGCCCGCGCCCGCGCCCGCTCCCCGCCCCGCTCTAGATCAATACCGGAGCCGGCGCCTTTGACATGTGCCCCGCGCCGCGTGCCGCTCTGCAAATATTTACGTTGTGGAAACAGATCATAACTAGTTTCATTTGCCTGTTTGTACGTCACCCGCGACACACAAACCACAATAAAAACCAATTTAATTGACTTTTCATTTATGACTTAATTATATTTTTTCTTGATTCCCTCCTTTAACCTGCTTTAGAGTTTAATTCAGTTATGAACTGAAACCACAGCTTCATATTCGCTTAACACTAAGCGTTATAATTGTAATTTTAATGTAGGTTAAACCAATTATTATGTCAGTACATTTCACTAAAACGTTTATACCGCACGTGGTGTTGGTCAATCATTGATAAGCCGGCATTCACCAGATAAACACTTTAAATTAATGTATGCTGCGAATTAAGGACAGTCATGTGAAATAGTTTTCATTTTCACAATTCAGTAAAATAAATTTAGGCTTTTCAACGAGTTGCTTTATATAAAACGCTACTTTTTACGCAAAAGTACTCTAGTAGCTTCTAAAAATTATATTTTAGTGCGAGACTATTCTGATAAACACAATTAACAGTAATTGAAAAAATATTCGGTCTTTACCCGCATTAAATGTCGCACCAAGTACATAGTGCACCGTCAGCGTAGCACATTGAATGCTACGCGAGATGCTACGATGCTACGAGCCTACGCCGCTCGTGCAAATTGTCTACGCTTCTACGAAACAGTTAATTGAGTTACTATTGTAACTAGCTAGGGTTTGATACTGCAATCAAAGGTTGGATTAGTTGTGTTTCGAAGTAAAACAATGCCACATTGTACTGCTGCCAGTTTATTGTTTTAATCAATTCGTTCAATTGTAATTAATAGTTTTCTTTTATGAGCAATGACCCGTGAAAATGATTTAATCGATTATTCCATGTTGTTGGGAACGAGTTGGCATTATAGATACTCCTTTGTGGCTTTGCTGACGACAATCGAATTTGTTGCTTTTGTCGAACTGATTCTTGACTAATTAAAACAAATAAAAAAAAATTAAATTTAAAACTGAATATAATTCGTCTTATTTTTTTTTTCTTCAAATCTCTATGCTCCGGCATCTAGGGTCCCTAGATGTCCTGTACCTTTTACACTAGCATGAATATTTCATAT